TTCATAACAGCTGTAATGTGTAGTAGAACTCTGTGTGAATTTTTTTCCTGGAGAAGTTGGCATAACAATTCCCCCTAGTTCAACACAAAAAAAATGGTTTCAGACTTGACACCCAATTCCAAACTCCATCATTAAAAAAAGACAATTTTCATTTTTTTTTCATTCCTTAATAGACTTTAATATTCCTTGCACAATAAAATGTACAAAATATTTAATTCCCTAAATAAATAAAAACACACAATTGTAGACAGTGTTTTACTTTTAAAGAATAAAAACAGCAGAGAAATCTCTTTCCTCTAGAACAACTGTTTCAGAAGAATCTCTTGCAGAGAACTAAAGGCACCATCCAATCTCTGGCTGAAAGTTCAATAAGTTCCCTTTAAATAAAGCTGTGTTTGAAGAAGAGAGTAGAGTGGAAAAGGAGGCAAGATGCTAGCTAACAAAACTTTTATCAAAAGTGAAGAGAGCCATTGTAACTGAGCTAATTGGACTCTGTATCCATCCATTAGGTCCAATGTCTGATTCTTCACTGGCTTGTCTGTGGTGCAAGAAAAAAACAGTGGGTCAGAGTAGGCTGCATGCTGGGTAATGACTACTTGTGGGTACTGCTGAACAGCCGGCACTGCAATAATGAGCAGAGTTACAAGGAGCAACTGAAACAGCATTCTTTTTCCTGCTTCAATTTAGATTTTTTTTTTTAATCAGATTAAGAATGGCTCAATTAAATTTAAGCTTCAGCTAATTCTTTTCCATCTGTACAACCAATGCAGTCATATGAAACAAGGCAGTGCAGAGGCCCACACCTAGGATTGGCTGTACATTTCCAAAGTTACATATGGCATGCCCCCACCCCCAAGTCCCTCCCTGTACCGGGAATGCTTGTTCAGACGCTTTTAAGGATTGTCTCTGCAGCTGCAGGCTGTCCGGATAGGCTGCGTGTTAAATTTTTGGCTCACGAGCTGTGCACATTCTGCTCAGCAGCTATGGCTGGCCTCGGCATCCAAGCCTTACAGTTTCTTCCAGTGTCATTAGCATCTCACCTTTTCTACATGCTAACCTGTACATTTGTATAATTAGATCCTATTTGCAGTGCAAATTGCCCCCTCCCCCCAAAAAAGCGAAGCCTGATTTATTCTGGTATTCATGGCAGTTTTCAAGCACTGCTGGTGTCCTCATTTGCCAGATAGGAAAAAGTGTTTCCCTTCAAAAGGAAGGGGTGTGGCAGCCACAGAGAGTGGATTTTGCACACACCTTTGACCAGAGATTGATCGTCATTTCTGTTACTTCATAGCATAGACTCTTCCTTATTAGAGAACCAGCCATGAGTTTTCAAGTAGCATTATCAGGATCCCCTGCAAGGGTCACACAAGAGTTGTGGGATGGGCAAGTCACAAGTGCTAGGACTGATCCACTGCTGTTACAAGGCAAGTGGGGGGAAGATGCTCCACTGTTTCCCTCATCCCCCCAAGTGGAAAGTCAGGTCCTTGTGCTAAGCCAGAATACAGGGAGTGACATTTATCCACAGATTTTTCATATCCAGCCATGGGATGCATGCACATATCCCCAACACACTGAAGCAGATAGGATTGTTGAGAGTAGAAGAGCTCTAATTGGTCTACCCAAGTTAAAGAAGCTTCAGGAAACCCTGGCCTAAAATGCAGGCCTTTCTCTTTTTTTGAAAGGAAGTATTCACAAGAAGCAAATGAGATAGGAATGACTAGATGTACCATATCATGCACCTTTTTACATGTCTTCCTAGTTGCAGGAGACTGAAGTAGGCAGAAAAATTGCAAATCTCCTCCACCCAATCAAGGTGCTTGCATTTCTAAGCAACAGCAGAAAGCTCCCAAAGCTGCACAAGAGAAAGTGTGGAGATCCATAACCAAGCCACCCTTGGTTGCATTAAAATACTACACAGAACTGGAAAAGGCTTTTAGAAGGGGCAGGTTAGAGCCCCAGGCATTCAACTGTATACTTGTTCTCCGAGTATAAAATATAGCCACCACTCATGACATCATGCCTAGCTGCCAGAAACTAGCTGCGCTTGTTTCACACACAGGATTTTCTACCTCTTACAGGAACTGATTGGAGCCAGGATACACCAAGAGGTTGGGGCTTTGGTGGTGGAGTGCCTTAGGCTTGTTGGAGACTTGCATGCTAAATTTATATGTAATCATGGGAAAGAGAAGAGATTTGTGGAGTTGTTCTGTTCACACCTTGGCTGATGCCTAGGCCTGTTAAAGGCAGCACTTCCAAGAGAACCAACAGGAGTGTAGAATCCCATGCAAATGATTTCCCAGAGACTACAATATAGAGGTTTTTGAAAGCTGTACCTAAATATTTGTTTCACTTCAATGCTATCACTTCCTTCTGATTCTTAGACAAGCGGCCTTGGATTATCCCAGGACTAGAAAGATCTAGGAGGATATTTTAACCCAAAGCCTTAATTGTAGTTTCTAGGAATGAAGACTCCATATCAGAAACTGGGTTTCTTCTCCCTCTAAAACCTCAACAGTGGACACAGTCACAGGCTGTGGATTGTCCTAGGGTTAAAAACCTGTGACTAGAAGCAAACAAAATCATCTATTGGGAAAACCTAGTGGGCCATTTCCCCTATTGCAGGTTTTAGCAATCATCCTACATGGTCTCCAAGGGAGAGTTGTCTTTAGCTCTGATTGACTGCTGACCTTTAAAGGAGCCTTGGGTTTCCCCCCTCAAGCATGCTCCTCTATGCTTACCTCTGAATAAGAGTATTTTCCCTGTGGTACGATCCCCTTGGCTTTCATGCTTGTTGCCTGTGATTTACTGCAGTCTATACAGCACCAAGATAATCCATCAGGATTGCAGAGCACTATAGGTTTTATGCTGGCAAAGGGAACTGGGCTGAATGGTCTTCCCACCCCTTCAGCTCTAAGGAGTGATCTAGATAATGACCTAAAGGAATGTATTATTACAGCTAGTAGGGCGGCCCAGCTGCGACTTATAGGTCTATAAGTCCAGTCCTATAACGGAGTCCCATTGCCAGAGCGACGCGTAGCGTCACATCCTGGCAACGGCGGTGCAACGCGTATCGCTGTCCCCCCCGCGGCAGGGATCCTGTGAAGACGCACGGATCCCCCGCCGCGGCTTGGCAGCCCTAACAACTAGAGAGCAATATGATTTGTGGCATCAAATAAAGGATTCTTGACATGGGGAAAGAGGGCTGGACTCAGTTTGCTGGTGTGTCCTTCCAGTCCTATAATTCTATGCACCCTGAATATTTTTTTTAAATTGGGTATGCAGAGTCTACGCTCCGCCTTAGAAACAGCTGCTCTTTATGGTGCGGAGTGAATAGCTGCAAGTTATAATATGGCTCATTAAAAACTGCTTCACAGCAAGGAGAAGATTTTAAAAGGAGCAACAGGCTTTGCCACATTTGCCTGGCAGGGGGAGTGCCTCTGGTCTATCTGGGTGGCAGAAATGCTGGATCACACGTAGGAAAACACAGCTTGAAGCCTGCCCTTGTCATATACAGAAATACAAGGGTTGGTCTCCCCCCCCCCGGTCAATCCCTTTAGCACAGACAAACTGGCCACATCACTTCTTTGGCAGAAGAGGAGGCATGCATGCAAGTATTTATGCCCTGCCGGTACACTAAAGATTCTTTTCAGTACCGTACAGTGGAAGGTTCTGTCATTTGTTTGTGCCAGTTAGTCACTTAGCCAAGTCTCCAGAGAGGCATGTTCTACAGCTTATACTCACATAAGCCTCTCTGTTTGCACTAACTGCAAGCTCTGTTTAGGGCATTTATGGGCAAAGAGTATCCAATCAGGACCAAGCTTTTCATTTCCATCGTGCCACTGCAGAGTTCTTGCCAGCTCAACCACAGCACCCTCGCCTAAACAAGCCCCCCTCTTGCACAGCTCTGCCCAGTTTATTCATACCACCATGATCTTGACCTGCAGTTCACCTTGGAATGGATAAAGGGGTGTGGGCCGTTGCATCATCCCCTCAAAAAAGGGCAAGTGTGCCAAACTCAGCCTCTCCCCTGTGTTTCTCCAGTTCACAAGAAGACATTAAAAGGTTGCTACATAGGGTACAGCTTAGACTCAAAATGAAGGCCAACTATAAGAAGGCAATGCCAATGGGGGGGACGGGAAAGCTCTGATCCATCCTTTGTACCTTCTGCAGAGTGTTACTCTCCTCTCACACAGCTGGACAGAGCTAACGTTGGAATAGCCTGTTGCTGAAAAGCTGACCTTTTCCTGCAAGCCCCTTGGGTAGGCTTTTGAGCAAAGGCACTTTGATGAAGGCCCCACGGAGAAACAGAAGAGACAGTACCAGGCTCCCTTTCATTTGATACCCTGAGATCAGCCCAGCATTCTCTTTTCCTTCAGAGTTTTTGCACAGGTCTCACTGCAACACATCTGGGAAGAGAGAAAGAAGGCAGTATGTGCCTTGTTGACTTTTCTACATTACCCATTACAATGTGCACAATTTTCTTCATAGTCTCTGTCTCCCCAACCCCTCCTATACTGAATACTTGGCCATATCACTCTTGTCAAAGACAACTTTGGTTGCAAAGTAAATGGCCACTAGCCCAAAGCCAGCAGCAGATGCCATATAAGCAGTGACCGACTGTGTGAACTGAACAACCGAACCCAGAAGGAGGGATGGGATGACCTGAGAGAGGAGGAAGGCACTGTCCAAGATGGCCAGGTCTAAACAGATGCCTCGATTTGCAGCCGTGGCATCTGATTCTCCCACCATCGTCCTGAGTGAGACCTCGCAAGGTGAGCTGACACAAAGAGCAGAGCCAGCCCCTGGAGGAGAAAAGAGGCTCCCACCGTGTCCATTCTGGTAGGTCAATTTTTGGGTAGAAAGGTGACTTTTGAGGAAGCCAGCCTTCTTGTCCAGTTGAGCTGCATCTTCTTCTTTGCTTTTGTACTTCGGCAAAAAGATCTGAAACAGGGAAATAAAAGGGTAAGATGCTGCACCAGAACAGTGAAGCCATTAGAAAGGTGCCAGAAAGAACAAGACAGAAGTTGGACAATGGAGCTGCTTCACCCAACAAATATGGACTTGGCACCAGTAAGGGCCAGGAAGTCAGAGTTCGTTTTAGCCCAAGACTAGCCTACTCTTGAGGTGCCTGTACAGAGCAATGCTTTATTTCTTCAAATTTATTTCTTCAAATATGGCTGGACTTTTGTTGCAAATGGCCAGAGCTTTTCCTCTTTTGACACCACATGTTTCCATTGCTTCAGCACAGCAGTCTCACATAAAAGAACTCGGGTCAGTTGTATGTGTAAGATGGGGTATATCTTTAAGTCTGCTACTAAGCTGGCTACTGGAGGTCTGCTTACAAGGGAGCCAGACTGCTGAGATCTGAAAGACCCAGGTTCAAATCCCTGCTCTGCCATGGAATTTTGCTGGGTAACTTAGGACTAGTCAGTCTTTCTCACAGGGTTGCAAGGATAACATGGAGGTAGGGAGAAGGATGATATAAAATGGGTTTTGTTGTTAGTTAGTTATAAATGTCAGAAGACATACACAGGCCTGATTAAGCACTGGACCAGGATATCCCTTGACCTGAGTGGACGGGGAGGTTTTACTTTAGTATTGCAAGTTAGTGTTCATCCTTGTTGCCAAAATATTTAAATACATTAATTTTTTTTAAAATCAAAGCTCTGATCTCAGGTCAAACAGCATTTCAATGGGCCATTCATCCCTTTACATGTTGCATGTTAGACAGATAGGCTATCACTTGCTTTCTATTGTAGTCGATGTTGGGATGAATGAGGAAGTCTTAAGAATGCATCTGCTCATATCCTAATGCTTCCTGCAACTGAGCTGAATATGCACACAGGGGAACAGGACAATATGCTCATTGCCATGCTGAGGCAGACCAGCACTCTGTCTATAGTCTTGGTCACCCAGAGGCCCTTAAGGAAGTTCACAGGAGGGGGGGGGGAGAAGAGAGCGCACAGGCATTTGCCCTCTCTCTTCCCCCACCTCAGCGCCTCTACTCAGAATGGACCCATGGTATAAATAACCTGGACAGACCTATATTCTGCAGCTTTCCTGATATGGGGAGCTAACTTAAAATAATGGATTGAATCTAGTAAGGGAGGGAGCAGCCAAAATAGTCCAGCTTAGCCTGGGATCATCAGAGCTTGGAAGCTAAGCAGGATCAGCCACAGTTAGTATTTGGATGGGAGACCACCAAGGAAGCCTGTGGTTGCTACATGGAAGAAACCACCTCTGCCTGTTTTGTGCCTTGAACACCCCCCATGGCTGGGGTCTCTGTGAGTTGGTTTTGATTTGACTGCACATTCTTCTGTCTCCTTGGCTGCAGATAGTTATGTGGTCCTAGGGATCAGCTAATCCTTTCTCAGCTAGCTGTAACTGTGGTCTCACGTCTGATATTCCAAAGCCACAGGGACTCGGAACCATGAATCTGTTAAGGTCTATGACAGATGACATTTAAGTTCTTCCCACAAATGCCTCCTGCTCTTCTTCAGAAAGGAAGATGAAAAACTCCCCCTTTAGTCAGAAAGCAATACTGTTCCCTAAAGTTACATAAAAGCCATCACTTTAGGTCCAGTTCCATAAGATGGGTTTCACAGCAGCACTGTTTCAAGCTATCACTTTGTAGAAACTGAGACTAATTGTGTCAGTTATCCAGCAATTCACATTCCAGTTCTCTAGGTGCCTGCATGTCAGAGGATAATCAGAACAGATCACATGCAGGAAGAAAGGTAGTAAGTAGTACAGGCAGTTAAGACTGACTTGTGTGACCCAGATGGCCCTTTCAGATCAAATCTCTACACAACTACATCCCCCATGAGGTCCACAGGAAATTCACCCATCTGCAATATGGAAATCTAACCTACCTTACCCAGTTGCTGTGTGAACCACACTGAATAGTCTGCTATATAAATGCCATGTGCTATTGATATCACAGGAACTTACCTTGCATTCAAACTGTGTAACATTCCATCCACCCATACACAAACACCCTGGATCTAAAACTATGTTCTTCCATAATGCTAGGGGGAAATAAAGGCACCACACTGTATTTTCTTCTTCTTTTTCTTCTTACGGAGCTAATGAAACTCAAATTCCTCTTCATGCATGCTTCCGCAATCAAATCAGCAGCCCCAATAGCTTTGAACTTAAAAAAAAAACTCATGGGAGATCCAATGACAATCTCAACTGCAGCACTGAGATTGGTTCTCATCAGATGCCAACAGAACAAAACACTTCATGAAAAGAGCTTGTTACATACAGGTGTTCTGCTACAAATTGACCCCACCTATAGAGAACACTGGCTTGGCTCCTATGAAGCTCAAGTGCAACAGTAGTCACAGGGTAGTTTTTCCCCATTCTCTACCTTCCTCCCAGTAGGCCTCCAAACAGCCTACGCTGGAGGTTGTGGGACCCAGGTGAATAAAAAAAATGTTGTATGACCCAGGAGGCTACATTAAGGAAGCGGAACCAGGTGGGCACCTCCCTTGAAGTCCTAGCACCAGTGGACGCACCACTGAGAGAAAAAGGAGGGGAGGATGGTTTCACCCAGGATCCAAAGCACTGGCATGATCATCTTACAGCGAAACAACATAATCTTACAGCGAAACAATATGTGAATGGGGTCCAAAGTTATAAATATTTCCTTGTTTATAAGATGGATTTTTGCCATCACATGAACTCTGGACCCCTCTTGGATCTTGTCAACATCTTTAGCATGTATATATTTCAACTGTAGAGAGACAGAGATGGGTCTATGTTCAAGTTCCATTTTCGCCATGGACTCTGGGAACACAGTGGCCCATGTGACCAAGTTGTAACATGCAGAAAGTGAGTTACTTAAGCCAGTTTTAAGAACTGGTAAATGGAGAAGTGGGAAACACTTAGAAAGAATAATCGTACAGGCTTGAATATAGAATACAGAAATGGTTGTATTCTATTGTATTTACAAGAAACGATAGGTCTCCTATGAACCTCTCCCCCCCCCAACTCCCACTGCTAGATTCATTTAAAATACAAGGGGAGGCTTTCTAGAAAGAAATTAAGCCAATTCACAAGAATCATTTCATGGAAAGGGTAAAGCTGGAGGAATTTTGGCCCCAACAGTCATTTGGGGTATCTGCTACCCTCAGAAGAGTAGCCATTTCTTCCTGTTCCCTATTCAACCCTAGGCAGTAGCCATTTCTTCCTGTTCCCTATTCAACCCCAGGCAAAGAACTTTTTCAAAGGGTGAAAGTCCTCATGCTCAGATGCTCATATCACAGTACGATTCAAGGGCATGCGTGAAACACAACCGACTTACGCGGCTTTCGAGTGTGAAGCTTCAGACAGGGTTAGTCTTGCGGGCTCTCACAAAACTGGATTGGCAGCAGTTATGGAGGAACTGTGTGTTGATTCAGTTCAGAAGAGAGGAGAAGTGAACAAATCAAAACACAAGAAGCAGACACAAAAAGGACTGACAAGAGGCAGAAGGAAAAGAGGGTTTAAAAACAGTAAAACACCAGAGTGGGAGATAAGTGCAAGGAGTTGTATATTTAGCAGTAGTACAACAGGGGTAAGAGGAGAGGGGGGGGAAAGCCATGAATGGTAGTGACAGATTAATCATCCTTGTTAAATTATGTCTTTTTTCTTTCTGCTGGGAACATCTGCACGCACTTTCAACATGGCATGTGAAAAGCCAGATGCGAGCTTGCTGTAAGAGTAACTATATGTTAGGGGTGACATTTTGCCACCCCACATGCCCTCTTCCTGTGCCACCCTGGCTAGGTCCAAAGTGAACTCCAGAGGCAGTGGCCTTGGAACTAGGCAGCAGAAACAGAGTGTGAGTGTGGGTGCCTCCACCCCCAATCTGGCTGCCTGGGCACCAAGCCAGCCTCCTTATGGTGGAGTTCCATGACTAGAACTAAAGATAGGCACTTTGGCCCTAAGAAGCAAGCATGGGGAGAGGGCGGCCTAGATTGGGGCCATGGCGCTAGAGAAGGGGGCAGTTAGTTCCCCCCTCCCCTTGGAGTACTTTCCGACTGCACTTCCTCCCTTTATCCCAGAGGGAGGGGAGCCCCGAGTGGGGCTCATAAAGAGTCCCAAGAGGGTTCTACGCCTCCAGCCATTCCAGGCTGCTCCCTTAGGCTTATTTTAAGAGTGCATGTAGGGGAAAGGAAGCGGAAAGCAGTCCTCAGGCCAGTCCCAAAAAAGCAAAATTATTAAACAAACAATAATGTCAGCTCTCTGGTTCACCACACCTGTGAGCCTTTCTCTGCCTTTCTCTGCAATTTTATTTCTAAGTTGTCTCTCTGCCCAAAGGCACTTAAGGCAACACACCATTCAGAGACCAATGCTACTTGGTATAAGCCAGGGTCTGTAAAAGCTTACATGGCTCCTATAAGCTAGAACTGTCCATAGTTTGAACCCTCTGAGCAAAATGCAAATCTGTGTGAAACAAACTGGCCTGTTTTCCCCCACCCACACCCCTTAAGAAGCCTCCTACACATGTTAGACACATACACACACCCCCCAAACACATTACCCTACCTGCTTTTCATGATGATAAAGTGATGCCAGTGTGTAAGGCAGGATCTGCAGCACTGAGAAGGGGAAGCCCGTCAGAGCAGCAGAAACAGTGACAATGACGATACTCTGTGAAAAGCACATGATGAAGGCAGTCAGTGGGAAAAAAGCCACACTGGCGAGGTAGACCATTCGCGTCCCAAACTGCTTCACCATCCGGTCCATGATTGTTGAGAAGAAGATGGAGATGACGCACTGGAGGAAAAGGCCCAAGCTGCCCATCCGAATACCTGAGAAGAGATGCAAGTACATCGGGTGAGATGGGGAGGAAGCAGTAGGTAGACTACCCAAGAGAGTCAGGTCATCTCTGGCCACAGGATCAGTTTTAAGATAGTTAAAATGTTAACTGTCTCCATTAATAAAGCAGTCATTTACAAAAAAAACCCTCTTAATCATCCCAGCATTGCAACTACCCAGTTTATAATTAATAAAGATATGCAGGGTAGAAGTGCAAATGGGTATTAGGTGGGTTACTTGACGGTACCACAGATTTAAGTACACAGCCTGGAAGGCTTGCTCTTTGTCCTCTCTGCAGAACCACAGATGGGCTAAATATGAGGAAGTCCCCCTTAATAATCTCAGTTTTAAACATGTACATGGGATATCAAAAAGTGCCCTCATGAAGCTCACTGTGGCCAAGAGGTTCACCTGTGAACAATCCTGACTTGTGGGCCTGGAGCTCATAAGTCCTGGCCATGAATCCCATGGAAGCATCAACACGGGGAACGGCACTCAGACTGCTGCCAACCACTGGGGTTTCCCATCCATAACATTCTCCAAGACATCCACAGAGGTCTGGACATTCCCTCCACACATCTCCAAAGGGCTCCATGTGGCTCCATATCACTGCAATCACTGAATACCATTGTTGGTATTCAGTGGAGCCTCCAATGCAGGCAGGACTTGAAGGCACCACAGAATGCAGATGTTTACTTTTAATTATATTCAATCGAGGTCACACCAACCTCAACATCAATTATACTGGAACAGAAAAAAGGGCAGGCAAAAGACCAAAGAGCTTTAGCTGGAACCATTCCAGAAGTCCTACCACTAAGGCACCTTTTTAAGCTAAAAAAAGGGAAAGATTCCATCTTGATTCCACCTTCAAAAGCCTGGCAACAAAAGAGGAATCTGTACATGTGGAATGGCACATGCTGACCACGGGACACACATCAGGAGGATCTTGCCCCAAGCAAGCCACCTGTGCAGTTCTTGAGAAGGTTTCTGCTTATAAACCAGACAGGTAACCATCATTCCTGATTTATTAATGAATCCAAGGCACCGAATGTTTAAGGAAACAGTGAATCAGCTCTAAGAAAGGGAAACCACTTTTACTTCCTCCGCAACCTCACGTATGAAATGCAGCCTGCACATCTTCCAAGCATGTGTGTGTTGGGTATTTTACGCATTGCAACACTGTTGCAAAGGAATGGGTAAAGGTGACATCTGAAGTTGTTCTCAGAACTGACAATTTATTTGGCAGAAAGGGTCACCACAAGGCAATTATGTGCTACAGAACTGGCATGCTTTGTTAAATACAATTACAAGATATAATACTCAACTACCCCACTCATCACCAATCATAAAAACAGGCTTCGGGAGCTGAATGGGAAAAAATGTTTTCTGAGATTCTAGAAACTCAGTAACAGACAGGGTTAGAAGTAGTGGTGGACTATTGGCTTGTAGGATACAGATCATATATGTTCTGTAAACATGACTGATAAGCTACATTCCCTAGTTGCCCCTTGTCAAGAATCTCGGGGTTCTGACAAGAGAAAGTGGACTACAGGTAGACATCTAATAAGCTGCATTTGGCTAGCATCCTATGTGTTGTCATATTTACTTTTCTACACCAACAAATAGGAAAGGTGCCCTTAGTGTGCATAAGAACTAACCCGCTGAACCAGGCCTTTTGTGAGAAAATCCTTTATTTGAATGCTTAGTAAAAACAAAAAATATATATTCCTTACTAGTACAGTGTGAAGCAACTAGGTACAAGCCTATTCAGCAAGCACATTCCAGAATAAAAAAAATTAAGCTTGCATTTCCTAGGTTTAGAGCCAACATCATCACAGGACCACATGGACGCTAACTGGCCTCCTTCCACCACCCATTCTTCCTTCCCTCCACTTCCTTCCCCTTTGGAAAGAATTCCAAGGTCAGAAAGAACCAAGAATGTGCAACAAAACATGAAAGATAACTTTCTGCAAGTCAAGTTTGATTGCATCATTTATCACTATTGCTAGCTGAAGCGTTTGGATACAGATATCAATTGCAGAGACATAAGCAACAAGTTTCCCTCCCTCCCTACCCTATCAGTTTACCTTCATCGTAGTTGCGTCTGGCTTCTGTGCCTGGCTCAGCTCTGGGAACTCCCTGGTACAGCCCTTCCCCGACAAAGTCCGTGTAGAACAGCATGAATGTCATGAGGGCCATCCAGCTGCACAGCTCAGCCACAAAAAGCTGCCGGATCACCTTGGGGACATGGCAGCACAGTCCATGCAGGCGCGGAGCCAAGGCACAGAGATTCCTACATGCCTGGACCAGATGCCGGACCCTCAGAAAGCTCTTTGGAACCCAGCAAGAGCAGCAGCTAAGGGAAGGGGGCATGGAGGAATCCTTCATAGCAGGATTTGCCAGCACTTCGGTCTGGGTTACCACCTCCTCAGTCACAAAGGCAGTGGCCAAGACACAGCTGAGAAAGATGAAGGTGAGGAGGCTGAAAAGGCATTCTTCTTGTCCCCCCAAGTAAGGAGCCAGGAAGCTACTGTCCCAGTTGATTGCCGGCAGCAGGTATCCAATGCAACCTCCTAGGCTGATCATAAAGGAATACATGGAGAATGCCTGCCGACAGTTGTCCGGCTCCTGGAAGAGATCGGAGAGAAGAGCCTCCAGGGGGGTGAAGCAGACTTGGCCACAGAAGTCAAGCAGGCCAATGCCCATGATGAGAAAGGCTATCTTCAGGGAGCGGGTATTCAGAGTAATAAGGCTAGCCAGGTGATGAGCGTGAGGGATGATCAGAAGACTCAGCAAAACTCCCAGACACAGGACCCAGATGAAAGGCCGGCGGCGGCCATAGCTACTGCGCCAGTGGTCGCTGGCAGAGCCAATGAGAGACACAAACAGTAGACCTAGAACAGGCCCAATCCCTAGAATTGAGAGGGGGAGAAAATATATTATTTGACATGGAGGGATTTGCCAAAGACTGTAGCTGTTACTTCAGAAACAAAACCAAGTACACTCAGACTCCAGTACCAAACCATCAAATCACAGGCCTCAAAGATAACATCAAGCATAAGGAAAAATTAACAGTTTCTAAGCAAGACTTTATACGGTTCTTATGCCATTTTAGGTTTTGGATAATTGATTTAGATTGTTTTATTGACTGATTATGAGCAATTTTATTTTACTGTGAACTGCCTCAGGCACATATTTGTGGGAAAAACAGCATTTTTAGTAGTTGTGCATATATCACAGTGGTTCAATACTGGCTCTAAGAATGTGTAGAGATTCTAAATTGTTACAGATAAAGCACCACTTCGCAGGAAATATAGACATCTTATTGCACATTCACAGGGGTCCATGCAACTTCGACAGTGTAAGTACTCATCTCGCACACATACACACACACACACCATAATGTGGGACACATTGCTAATATGTATAAAGGGAATACTGAGTATTTCAAAACATATCAATCAAAGCACTAGAGTTTATTCTGTCACACCTGACCTGGCGTGGAGAATGGATATTACACACATACAAACAAACACACAAAAACATGAAAGCCACCTACCTAGAACCATGGTCATGAACTTTTCCTCCACTCCAACTTCCAACAAGAGTGGTGGCACATAGGTGACACCTGCAGCTAGACAGACTTCCAAGCCAAAAGTCAGTGAGTTGACCAACAGCAGTTGGGCTTTACGGTTCTGAAACAGCATGCTGACCCACGCTTTCTGAGCCATGCCGCCCATGCACCTCAGCATCAGAAAACCATGCCAAGCCAACAACATTCTCCTCAAGATGATCCAAAATGAGATATCATAGTCCTGTATCTTCTTCTGAGGCTCAATGGCAACTGTTTAGTGGCCATTTTTAAGCCAGTACTGAGCCACTGCTGTTATGCTGGTCAAACGGATACACAGTCTGAGCTCTGAATAGCAAGAGGAACATTCCGGACTCTTACTTGTGCTTCACATTCTACAGAAGAAAAATAAAAGTTAAATACAACGCACATGGGCACATCAACAGCAATTTTTCTCAAGTCTACACATTTAGACTGTTACAAAAGCAGACAGCTAACTCCTCAATACAAATCTTCCCCACCATCCAAAGTTCACTCAAGAACCATTGTACTGAATCTGATTAAACACTTCATTTTGCCCAGGGCCTAGCTTCCACCCATAGTATCTCTTGCTGCCCACATCAACAGAGGTGTTAATATGGCTTTGAAACAGGTTCAGCTGCCATGGTTTCTCCCAAAGATCCCTGGAGGTAAATTATTACTACAGTACAATGGTAGTACAGTATCTAATGATGCATGCCTGCAGTAATAAACTTGCTAGACACTGGGTTGCATTAATTTAATGCCTAAATTCCTGTCACCAATTTAGGCTGCAATCCTAAATACACCTTCCTGGGAGTAAACCCCACTTGATAACATGGGACTTAGTTTTGAGTAGACCTGCTTAGGACTGCTCCCATAATCACTTACGTGCTCTTAAAAAACATGTCCTTCATTACTAAAATACTGCTCTGTCACAGGTATAATGAGCAAATAAGGAGGACATTTTTTAGCTCAAACTTTGAGGAGAAACGTGACCTAATTTAAAAAATGGAATAAATTTAAAGGGGAACATTTCAAACATATGCTACACCAACCCATTTTGGTCTTGGAGCACAGGGGCTCAGACACGATCCAACTTCAATTAGCCATAGGTTGAGAGACACAACAACAACATCCAGTAGGTGGCACAATTGTCTCCAAGACCATGTCCTCCCTGTTACTATGACGCTGAAAGTCTATTCTATCATAATTCATTAGTTTAACAACCAGTTTATCCTTAAAGCGACTGTGCTTTTCTTTGCTGCAGCTCTAAGGACATAGCCTAAGGGTACACAATGTGTAGACTGCAAAGCACTCACTCTTAATATGGAAGCTAACAAACTATCAATTTTCCGTCCCATTCAGACCCCAAATCCACTTTGCTTTGTGCTGTCTCAAAGGCCATCTTCCCCTCCAAACTGGGACACTGTTGTCCTGCCAGCTCTTTAACCATCATAGAAAGATGGAGAGCATTTGCAGCTGTTGTTCTCCTACTTCAAAATCCACTGCAGTTGGGGCTAAAAGGCCTTGTAGCCATCTAGAAAGCAATGCTAGTTCATATATACTAGAAAATATGGAGGTCTACAATTTGGTTTGGCCAGGCAAACAAATTGATTTTTCTGTGTTACATAAATGGTTGCATTCCAACTACAGCCATGTTGTCTAATTCCAATATATTTGATGGCCACAGATGTTCCCCTGAGTGTGCCAAATAACATATTCCGTGAACAAAGAGCAAGCACCAAAGATTAAAGTTTGATCTTCAGCTTCCTTAGTAAACTCTCTGGGCTGCATAAAGGGGGACAGGAATCTTGAAACAAGCACACCTTAAACACAGAAACTGCTAGCAAGTGCCCACCCTGTCTATGTCACTATCCCCCCCACTAGTTAAGCAAACATATTGATTTGTGTTATCTAAATGACATTTTCTGAAAAATGTACTCCCCTTCAAGGAACACAGCTGTGCTCACAATACCCCACATGTATCCAAATAGGCATTGAGCAACAGAACTTCCCAATGAAGTGTGGCCATGGATTTTCAAAATCCCCAAATCTGCCCTTGCCCAAATCACAGAACTGTTTTTTTAAAAAAGCAAAACAAACCACACCCAACAGTACAGACATTTATATATATAGAAAAAGAGCTAGGGGAACTCATTAGCATAACTCATTAGCATATGCCACACCCCCTGACATCAGGGGCCCGGCGGTGGACCTGCAAGGCCGGCGGGAGTGTGAGGAAGCCCCGCCAAGGCCCTCCCTGGCCCCAGGCAGGCAGGGGTGGCGAGAGGCGGGGAGGAAGCAACTTACCCTCCCTCTTCTCCTGCCTCCTCCTGGCTGAATGAGGGCTGGAAGCGGGGCGGCCAGAAGCAGGGGGTGGGGCTTCGTCATGTGCCCCGCCCCCTGCACCTCAC